AGACAGGCGTATACTCTGCGTACACACACATGCCTGTTTGAGACTGTCACGTGTTAATGGAACTATGCACATTCATGTAATCACAATAAAAGGAGCGCTACGGGAAGTCCGGCCGAGGTTGACGGGGTTCAAGTGGAAGGAACAGCGCTTGACCTTAGTCGCCTTCCCACAGAAGTGATCACACGATGAGCTCCGTCTTGTGTCTTGTTTTGGTGCTGCTTTGGTTCCAGCAGGGTTTGTGCTTAGATAAATCCAACAGCTCTAATTATTCTTCTTTTTAGGCTCATTGACAGAATAACTGATGCCCTTTAACTTATTTCAACTTCATCTAAACTTCACTCTGTTGTCACCCTCGTTTTCTCAGAGTGATAAGAGAGCCTCAGGACATCCTCGAGGCCCCGCTGGATAACGAGGGGACAAAGAAGGATTTCTGCAGCCAGACCTGCCTGTCCTCCTTCAACTACAAGAAACAAGTGTCCACCAAAATACCCGTGGCTCCCGTCTCATCACACTCACAATGCAGCATGTGCAGCAGATATTGCATTGTAAGAGACCAGGGAACAGTTTCTCTAATCTAATTACACGACACTGCCTGCTATAATAGTTTCATTGTCGATGATTAAGTTGCAGTTTATTTGTTAGCTGGATTCGTGTGTGCTGAATGAGCCTGACCTCTGTTTATCTTGTAGAGCAAACACGAGATCACGAAAGAGGACACCATCCACAAGATCTGCAGTGAGCCGTGTTTTCTGCGGTTCTGCGGCATGAACAACATCACCGTCTGTGCGAACTGCTGCGCACACCGTAAAACACCGCTCACGCTCAAGATGGAGGAGGGCGGCAACAAACTTTGCAGTGAAGAGTGCCTGGCCCAATTCAAGCAGGTCTGAAGTATAAAGTTTGCTTTTCCTACTGTTGTGAATGTATTGTGGCAAATATTAAACACATCGGATATGTTAAATAATGAGCCAAAAACCCAGGATTCAGATTGCTTTTGTCACTTAGTGTTAGACAGCTGGGTCTGTATGACATTAAGAAAAGAGGGCATTACTACACTCATCTGAGGCAGCTTTGGCTGCAAGTTTGCAAGTGTAAGCAGGTTGCAACAAAACTGGATAAAAGGAGGTTCAGTTTTCATTTAAGATTTTAGGCAATTTCTAAAAGCAAAATGTTACTTTTTCCTAATCTTCAAAAAATGACACGAGCTGAATTTGAACTGAGTCTTTGCTTTTTGTTGTTGCACAGAAAATCCAAACGCCGCAGCCGTGCACCATGTGCCGTGACACTTCTCCGATATCAGACATGGTTGAAAACAAAAACAGCGAAAATGTTGTGGAGCTGTTTTGCACCAAAGGCTGCGTGTCGGCATTCAAGATCCAGGCTGTCAATTCATCAGGTACGGAACGGATGCTTTGTTCAGCTTCTGTTTGTCTTATTTAGTTCTGTTTGTAACTCAGAAGCTTCAAACTTTCATTGTGTGTTAACTATTTTTTATTTATAAAAGTAAAACCTGGAGATGAAGCATTTTTTAAACTGTTATATGAAAAGACTTGAAATTCAAAGGTGCAAACATAAATCTGCTCAGTTTCATGCTTTCCTCGATTAAACCTCCCCTTCTCCTCAGGTGCCTCGTTGAATTGTGACCACTGTGGTAAGACTGCAGTGCCAACCTGTCACCTTGCCATGTCAGATGCCTCCATCAGAAACTTCTGCACTCTTAAGTGTGGCATGGATTTCAGGGTAATGTATTTAATATATGCTAATAAAAAAAAGCCCTCGATTGCCACCCAAAAACATTTAAAAGCACCTAAAGGGGAAATACTTTCTTTACAGCAAGCTTGACTTTAAGATTTTGTTTGTCACATTTCTATCAGAAGTTTTGAACAATGGCTCGCCCATTTCTTTCTTATGTCTGATCTACAGGAGAGCCAGAATCCAGCAGGAGTCCCCGATAAAAGTCAAAGGGATTTCCTCCATCCACCACCGAAGCTGCTATGCGCCCAGTGTCAAAGCATCATATTAACTACACCCAAAGTCATCCAGAGAAAGGTACCATTCTCCCGTCCTTTCTTTAAATGTGGAGAACCACAAACAGTGAGGGCTGTGTGGGTTGAAAATTTTGTTGTTTTTTTTGTCTCTCTTGATTGTATGCGTTGTTAGTAGGGCTGGGTATCGTCACTGATTTCTAGAATCGATTCGATCCACGATTCGATTTAATTCGATTCGATTCGATTCGGTTTGAATCTGGGAAATTTTGACAGTCAGAAATATTATAATTCAGATCAGTACATTTACATATTTTTGTATCTATAAAAAGGAAGCTGACACACGCAAGACTTTCGTCACAGCAGATGCCTTTGTGTCAAAGTAGCTGAAGATAAAACACAGAAAAACATGAAGGCGATTTTCCTGGCCTGGGATTTTATAAAAATATTCTGCAGTACATCAGAAACGAAAGAAAACCATTAATCAACTTATGAACATTACCTCTGAAGTTACAGCGGTTTTATTAGAGACACGGCTAAGCGTTTTGCATTTTGCATAATTTTAAAAAGTTTAAATTTGTTCAGTATTGAACGGCAGAAATTAGGTTTTCTTTTCGGAAGTATATAAAACAAAACAAAACAAAAAAGAAAAACGTCGGCCGACAGCGCCGTAAACAACGGTAGACTTGTGCGTAACAGGGAGAGAGAGGTGCATCGTGGTCAAAGCAAAACAGTAAAAGTGAATCCATGACGATGTTTATGTGCCGCGTAGTTTGGATCTTCTTTTGCTGCTGCGGGTTGCGCTGTGTGTTTACGTCTTTGTGAAGAATCCGTGTTCCTGCTCTCATTTACGGTCTCAGCTGTTTGGTGGTTGTTGAAATTTTGTGAGATTTCACCAGAGATTCTGGCATTTCGGGCAAAATAAATTTATATTAAAAAATCGATTCAGGATTTTAATGAATCGATTTTACGTTAGCCAAGCCAGAATCGATTTTAATCGATAAATCGATTATAAAAACCAACCCCTAATTGTTAGTTCAACACTGTTTTACACCAGCTGTTAAACTGTCTCTTTGTCACCTGTAAGCTGTTAGAAACATTCATGTTCATGTGGACTGATTTGTATCAAACTATAACCGTGTTTGTGTGCAGGAAAAAATATACTTCACATGCAGTGTGGCCTGTTTTCAAGAATTTAAGAGGGTCAACAGCATCACGGCTACCTGTGAATACTGTAAGAATGAAAGAATCATCAAAGACGTGAAGAGAGTCGGCGGCAAAGACTGCTGCTTCTGCAGCGATGGTAAGGAGAACATGTCAGTGTAGTTTGTTTATGGTCCATTTCACGTGATCGGGAAGTTTACTGGAGCCTCACCTTTCTCTTCTCGCAGCCTGCAAGACGCTTTTTTGTCAAGAGCTAAAAGGGAAGTGGGGTAAACACTGTCGCTCGTGCAGTTACTGCCAGTCGATATCCAAGAGTCTGGTGACGACACCGGGTGAAGACATGGACATCGAGTTCTGCTCTGAAGCCTGCTGCTCAAAATACAAAACGCTCCTCAGCCATGTAAGTGAAGGGTGATGCTCACACTCTGCACAGTCTGTCTGCTGCAGATGAAGGTTTTTTCCTTTTTTCACTCTTAAATATAATTTGTAAAAAGACAATTTAATCAAAATTCTTCTCATAACTGCTTTTTTCTCAGGTGGCAAAATGTGACACCTGCAGTAACAAAGGGAAACTAAAGCAGAGTCTGCCACTGCTGGGAGAGGTCAAATACTTCTGTGGCATGAAGTGTCTCCTGCACTTCTGCAGTAACAAGGTTCAGATGCTCGACGGAGGTATGCACATTTGCTGTTTCATTTGCTCCTGATGGAGCTTCCTGGTTAAGTGAAGGTTATAATAATTTGTTCTCGAGTCCTGGGTCAGTTACAGGCTTTATAAATCTGTGCTGCAGTTTAATCAGTTACTAGCACCACTGACTGGCTCTCCTCTCTTTCCAGAAGTCTCTTCATCTCCGGTGTCTGCAGCACCAGCAGAGTCCTCTCCTGTCATTGGAAATGTTTTATCTTTGGCTAATGCTCTGACCAGGCAGCACAGCGGCCCAGCAGCCTCTACACAGCTTGGTACACACAGACACATTATTTATTAACACATGGTGATGTTTCACCCAGGAAATAAACTGAGCAGTAATTGTGGGAAATTGTGATGCTGTGTGTGTTTTGTTTTAGCTGCTCTGACTATAGTTGTTGCCATGTTTTTTCTAACTATCATTTCTCCACAGGCTCCATCACTGACATTCAAACAAAGGTCATTGGACATGTAAGTCTGCAAAGATGTTTTAATCAATGTGCCTCTATATAAACTTCTGTTTTGATACATTAGAAGTGGCTAAATTTCAGAATAACCTAATAATATGATCTGTGTTACAAATGAAGTTGTCTTTGTCGTAGTTGAAGGTGTTTTTGTGACCTGTCTGCTCTTCAGGCCAGCGTTCAGACTGTCCCAAAGGAGCTGAAGAACAAGTCGATCATCTGTACTCCGCTGGTTCATAACAAAGGGGTCTCCTGTACAGAAGAGGCTCTTAAAATAGAGACACAAAAAGGTGAAGCACATAAAATGTCTGTTGTGAAACATGAACAGGTACCATCTTTTCAGAATTAACAGTTTTGGTGTTTACTCAATTTGTTCTTTTCTGTTGTTAGAAGACCGTTGTGATCCTAAAGTCGTAGTCCTGCCTGTCCCAGTGCCGGTTTACGTTCCTGTGCCAATGAACATGTACAGCCAGTACACTCCACAGCCGGTGGGCCTGCCCTTACTGGTAAGTAAAGCACATCTTTGATCTTAAACGAATATGAGACCGTTACTGTAAGATAAATGGTCTCATTCTTTAAAAGTACTTAAATGTTGCTTTGTCATTTCTAGGTTACATATTTTTTTAAAAATCCTTGAAGTTTTTTTCTGTTTGAGGAAAAAACATTTCTGAGTTGTGGTTCATTAAAAAATGATGATAAATTTATTGAAAGCTGTTTGTCCTGCTGCTTTTAACTTTAAGTACATTTGTCATTTGCCGCATTTCAACCTTTTAAACTCAGTAGAAACCCGAGTCTTAAGTCTGTGTTTCCCACAGCTGCCTGTGCCCCTGGTCCTCCCTGTGAACACAGATGGCTCTGAGGCAACGGTGAAATCCACAAAAGAGAGTTTGCATCCTGAAAACTTACAGGGCGAGCTAATCATCAGGCCGGAGACGGAGATAGAGCAGAGCGAGGAAGGGCAGAAGCATGGACAAATGATAAAAGAGGAAGAAAGACCCAAGCCTTCATCCCTGCAGGGTAAGAATTGTTTTTAATTACATGAAATAATTACAGAGTTATATTTTTACAGGGACGGGACGACCTGTAGTACT